TTTTGATAGGGTTTCACTATGCAGCCCAGATTGGCCTCAAATTCATGTTCCTCCTCAGCCTACCGAGTACTAGGATTACAAGAGGACGCCACCACATTTGTCTAACTGTGGGGTTCTGATTCAATTATATAGGAGGATCTTTTGTGCCCAGCTAAGTACTGTCTCCCCAAGTATAGACAGATTCACATTTCAAATCTCTTCTGGATCTTCAAATCTCACCTTCCTACTGAATTCCAATATATTTCTCATGGATATTCCTCAAGTCTAAGAGTACATTCTGGGCCTCAGGAGAAACTAACAACCTGCAGACCATCCGTCTACTTCCGTCTATCCCTGAGGGAGCTAGACAAGGGTGTCTGCAGCCAGTACCTCAGGTGTTCATGCCCTCCTTCAATTAAACCCTCAGAAATGCCTGGCAGTGAACCACACATGGCTGGGTCCTCAATCAAACTAATGAGCAGACAGGAACCTTCCTGCGAGCTCTGCCTGAGCTGTCTCTGGAGTTCCTGGATGCATACATACTCAAAGGCAGGCAGGACCAAAAAGCCAATGAGCTTTTTGAACCAGGCGTCTTGGAGCAAGGGATCTGTATCCTGTAGGGGTGATGTATCCTCCCATACCACCTGGATGAACTCGCAGCTGGGCTCCCAGAAGGGCTCCTCAAACTCCAGAAAGATTTTGTTATTGGTCCCAAAGCCTATTTTTCTGATGGCTTCTGCCTTTTCAGCAGGCAGTGGTGGCTCAAAGAAGGTAACCTGATGTTCTTTGAGAAAACCTGCAATTCAGAATTGGACGTGGTTTTAGATAGGTCTTAACCAGAATCCACACAAACAGGAATCTGTCCTGATTCTAACAGAAAAGTCAGAGAAAGAGGCTTCTAATCAGGTCAGTGGGGGCAAATAGGCAAGGCTGGGCCTGACCATCAGGACAAGGGTGACAGGCACCACACTAGAGGGATACTACGGGCCTCCTGGTAACACAGAAACAGTTAGCAGGACTCCACAGACACTGTTCTGTGGGGACAGCTCACTCCTGACCTTCTGCCTCTAACTGTGCCCAGCCACCCTATACAGGGTCTGTCTGAAATAGTTGTCATATATACAGATTTCACCCAGAAGCCCTTTTTTTTCTTGGCAGTGCTAGGGATTGAACCCAAGACCTCATACATATAAGCTCTTTATCACTAAATATAGCCCGCCAGAAGCTATGTAAAGATTAGTCTAAATAGAAAAATAAATAGCTCAAAGTCAAACAACAAAATGAACAAACAACAAAGTCAGAGTATAGAATATTTGCAAGTCCTGACTACAAGCCAGTTTCCCCAGGACACCTGCCAGACAGAAAGGAAGGAAGGAAAGGCCTGGCATGCTAGTGCACACCTTTAATCCCAGCACTCAGGAGGCAGAAGCAGGTGGATCTCCATGAGTTTGAGGCCAGCCGCGTCTACAGGGTCAGTTCCAGGGCAGCTAGAGCACCATGGTGGGACCCTGTCTCAAAAGAGAGACAGAGGGAGGGAGGGAAGGATGGACAGCGCAACAGGAAGCCAGCAAGGCTATCACCAGACTCATGACAAGGACAGGTTCCTCATACAGTATTGGGCATGGGACAACGCCAGGTCACGCTATCTAAATCTTTAAGAACAAATCACTCCTGTAATCTACCTTGTAGATGTACTCACATAGCACTTTGAAATTTACAATACCATGTGAAATACAGAAGGGAGAACTACTAAACTTCTACCAGTATTCATCAACAATAACATCTACATACAGGAAAACACTAGTCAGCCAAGGTGACTCATGCCTATAATCCTAGCATTCAGGAGACTGAGGGAGGAGGACTGCTGAGAGTTCAAAGCCAGCCTAGACCACACAATGAGAACCTGTCTCCAAAAAAAGGGCTGACAAGATGGCTCATAGGGTAAGGACACGAAAGAAGAAATACAAATTTATCTGCCAAGAAAATGCAAATTAAAAGTACTTTGAGATCAAATGTTACTTTAATCAGAATGGCTAAGATCAGAAAGAAGAAAGAAAGAAAGAAAGAAAGAAAGAAAGAAAGAAAGAAAGAAAGAAAGAAAGAAAGAAAGAAAGAAAGAAAGAAAGGGGGGAGATAATAAAAGTTGAGGGTTTCTTTTCTTTTTTCTTCTTTCTTTTTTTTGGTTTGTCTGTTTTTTGAGACAGGGTTTCCCTATAGCATCAGTTGGCTTGGAACTTGAACAGGCTAGCCTCAGTCTCACAGAGATCCACCTGCCTCAGCCTGAGGAATACTGGGATTAAAGGTGTGCACCACCACACCCACCTTTTGTTGTTTCTGCTGCTTCATGTTGTAGTTCCACTGTTTCCTACCTAGTATGAGAGGAGCGGCTCTGCTCTACCATGCTTTCCCCACTATGAACAAGGAACTTGTATTTAACAAAAGACCTTGACAGATCTATGTGTGCTGATTTGGGGACACTGACAAATAATTCTATTTAAAGCAAAACAAAGCCAGGTTTGGTGGCATACATCTGTAATCCCAGCACTTGGAAGGCTGAGGCAGGAAGATCACCAGTTTGAGACCAGCCTGGACTATGTATATAATCCAAAGCCAGTGTAACTACAGAATAAGACCCTAATCTCAAAAAAATAAAGCCACACAAACAAAAAACAAGGCAAGCAGAACATGTTAACATGGACAGCATAATCCACTTGTGAGAATGGTGGTAGGGTGTCATGTAGGCCCATCCATCCCCAACCCTCCTGAAAAGACACATAGCATGGAAGCCACCACCTCCCAAGGTAGTAGAGATGTTGACCAAACGCATATTCCTGAGTGACCTCTCCCTCTGCCTAGATGTTCTCATTCATCCACCAGGGGCTATTAAGATACCTCCTAAGCCTCCTAGGGAGGAAATGAGAGCAGGGGCAGGCATGACACTTGTGAAAGCAAATGTTCCATTCACAGCAATGATCCTAGCAACTGTATCTTCAGCTGTCTCCACTTGTCACCAAATGGGGCATGAGACATGGCTCCACAGTGGTTCACTTGACTAGTGTGTGCAAGGCCTTGGGTTCTACTACCAGCACTGACTCTCACATCCCTAAGACTGGTAGAACTGCATTATGCCCTGAAGGTCACCCCAGCCTTTCCAGTCACAGCAAGACACATTGCTAGAGTAGTAGATAAAACACGATAGAGTAGCTCCATCCATCTGAAAATTCTTAGAATGAAAACATGAGGTCAATAGCTGAGCAACATCCAAAGCCAATGAAGAATAGGAAAAAACAGAGCCCAGGAGTATCTGGGATAGGGATATAACTCAAAGAAACTGATCCGAAAAAATGAGCACTACCTAAGGGCACAGTGACGATGACGTGATGGGCGGGGAGGCGGGCACCATCTTCACACTCCACCAACACAGGGAAGGTTTCCCCGGGAAAAGCAGCTTCCTGGAAAGACCCATTCCAATGAATAGTCTTCACCGGCTTGTCAAAAACCATCACATCTTTGGGCAAGGAGGCCATTATACGGTCAGTGAGTCCTTGGTAGCCACTGGGAGAGATGAAAGTTGATGTTGTATTGAGAACTAGGTCCTGGAAGGGTAAGTCTGGAACAAATAAGCCATCCAAGATATCAACAGCCTCAAAAAGAGCATCACTCAGGGCCAAAAAAGGGAGGCAGAGGCAGAGTCTGCTTGAAAGAAGGGCAACTCCTTAAGTCACAGAACCATTAACCTCCTGGCTAACGAGGGGGTCAAGTGAGCACAATACTAACCAGGTGACAAAAGAACTAGGGCTCTTCATCATCACACCAAGCCCTGGTTTTGTGCACTTTCTAAATCACAAATGCCCAACTTCTGGACAGAAGCATTGAGCCTAACATCTGGGAGAATGTAGGGACAGCCCTGCCCAGGGTCTTGCTTATGCCTGGTAGCAGGCAGCAATCATGCCTACCACAGAGGAAGGGCATGTGTGGCTCCTCTGCAACTGAAGCCCCCTCCCGACCATGTAGCACCCGTGAGAGGACCCAGGAAATGCAGAGGAAAAGGGACATTAGAAACATTTCTTTCTCAATCACTTGGAAATTTTTTTGCTTAAATAAGCAAAACTAGGGGGAAAAAGCAATCAGTTTCTCTGAATGGGGAGGACAGTGCCCTTGACTTCCACTACATTCCTCCTCTCTCTTCTCTTTCCCTCCTCTCTCCAGCCTAGAGCCTCTGCCTGGGAAGGATAGTAGGCAGGGCTGTGGTCCATACCCAGCAAAGATGCAGTCCAGCCCTGGCAGCACCATGTACTCTCCAAAGGGCGCAAGGGCCACCAGGTCCATGCTGTGGGTGCCGCTCACACAACACTCTGTGTTAAAGAAGGTGTTCAGGACAGCCAACTTGAGCTTCTTAGTGTCCTCATCCTCTGTCCAGTTAGCCACCTGCAGACTGAGCTCCTTCTTAAGGTACTCCCCAACACTGGCCACCGGGGTCTCAGACGCATTCAGGAACTCTCGGGTCCGGTCTATCAGCCCATAGAACACACTAGCCATCTCGGCCACCAGTTCCAGACTCACACTTGCCCCTGAACTGGTGCAGCTTATGGAGGGCAAGGCCACGTGCCCTCCAGTGTCCACCGACTGGTTCTCCTCCGATAACTCCTTCTCTCCCAGGAGCTGGAACTCGGCAGCTAGCTGGAAAACAGGATTGCCCTGGGAGGGCCCATGGATCCACTGTGCACCCAGCTCCACCACACCACCTAGGAGGGCACAGGAGATTCCACCTGGAGACACCGCCTCCTCCGCAGGTCAGCCCTACCCTTCCCAAGCATGCTCTGAGAACATCTTGTGGGCCACATGGTCCCCTGTAATATGGAGACCTGTCTCTGAGGAGCAGGTGATTCCCAAAGGTAGGGCCCTTTTGAGGATGTAAAACTAAAACAGGACAGGCCTGGTTTAAGGAACTACCGAGAGGCAAAACGGCCTTCATCGTCTTGGAAACTTATCCAGGAACTGAGAGTAACCCCTAGGGTTACTGGGCCCTGGATTGCCTTCCCTGGAGGATTCCATCCTAACTTTGGGCAGCGGACTTTGGGGTCCAAAGAACATGGGGTGGACATCTTTACTCCAGGAACCAGAAAAGGTTTCCGGGCTCAGGCGGAGCCAGCTGGGGTCTGGGGCGGGGTTCCAAAGAGGTTTCGCTAAGGGGCCAGAGAAGCGGTTACCGAAGCAGCGTTCCGAGCGGACGCGGCCCCCGGCGCGGGCCGTGGCCTCCAGGACCCGCAGGTGCGGAGCAGCCGGGTGGCAGCCGAGCCTCTGCGCCGCGCCTAGCCCCGCGATGCCACCGCCCACCACCAGCACCCGCCGGCCTTCCATCGCCATTGCGCGCTCCGGGTCTTCTTCCGAGAACCGTGGCCAACAGGTCCCCAGAGGAGGTGGGCGGGGCGGGGCCAGAGGCGGGTAGGTGCGGAAAGAGGTGGGACATCTGGGGAAGTAGGAAGGTGGGGTGAGGGGCGGGGCAGAAGGCGGCAGGAAGCGGGTGCCCCGCGCCTTGGGCTCTAGTGGCCCTCCTGGGCACGCGGGTCCCTGCTACGCCCTGGCCCCGGGTGGCGGGGTAGTCGGGACCTCACCCCTCCTGCTTGGGCCGGCACACGGTCACCTTAAGAGCGGTCAGGGTGTGGCTGCCTCTGGGCAGTGTGAGCCGAGGTCCCCTACGGGGCACCCAGTGCCTGTTGGGAGGGAGCGCGCCGGAGCCCTGTGCCGGCACAGCAGTTCCCGCTTAGACGAGTTCCGCCCTGGCCCTTCATGTAGACTCACCGCATGAGGGGGTCGTGGCTGAGAACACTGCTCGCCGAGCTCTGATCTAGGCTGTCGCAGGCCAAAGGCCCTCGTCTGAACTCTTGACTCACATGCAGGCAATACACAATATACACAAAATAATACTTTTTAAAAAATAAATTTTTAATAAAAATGCCTTTTGTGTGCCTCAACTATACATTTTTATTGAAGAACTGTCTGTCCTTTGCCCTAGTAGTTCAGTTGCTTTTTTACTATTAGATTGTAAGCTATATTCTAATCACAGGACCTTTACCAGATAAAAGAGTTGCAGAAAAATTTCTCTCAG